TACCAAGATGATGTAGGGTGGAACCCTAGATGGCCGATCTTTCACGAAAGGAGCGGATCCCACGAAGAACACGAAGAACACGAGGGGAAACACGAGGGAAAAATCACAAGGGGAACACAAGAGAACACTCAAACCAACAAGTATGATCACACATGTGCTAGATCCATGAACACAAAAGGAGATATAAGATCCACGATGAACAAGGGATGATACATGGTAACCGGTTCTTCTCCAAAGTAGGTCTTGATGGGGCCACCCAAGAGGGGGTCTTGAATCCAAGGGGATCTTCTTCGAAGAGGGGTCGCGGTCTCTCTCGTGGAGTAGGTCCGTAATGGATGAGCAAAGTTCTATCTCTAAATGATCTACTACTTTGCTAACCCTAGAAAGAGGGAGGAGGAGGAGTATATATAGTCTAGGTGGACGAAGGGGTACATGGGCCTTGGCCCTTCACTGTGCACAGACAGGTGGAGCCGGATGTCCAAGCATCGGGCCAGATGTCCGGGGCTTCACGACGAGCCGGATGTCCAGGCTGGCCTGGGTCTTCCAGATGCATTCGATGATGGAGGGGCCGGATTTCCAGGCGAGGGGACGAATGTCCGGGGCTTCGGGAGGAGCCGGATGTCCAGGCTGCACTGGTCCTTTCCAGTGTTCTCTGGATAGCCGGTGCCAGATTTTCGGGGCAAGCACCGGATGTCCGGCCGCTGTAGCAGCTGGCTCTTCTTCCTTCTCCTTCCTTCGCTTCCGCGCATGCTTGGCCTTGGTCCTTGGGCTCTCCATGGTCTCCTCGGGTGTACCTGAGTATGCACAAGGCCCGCGCTTGAAGTAGCATCCATGTCTTACATGCGGAAAGGGAAGATTCGGAAAGGAGCGAGTTCACCTTAGGTCCAAAGGCGTATGCTTGAGTGTACATGGGGATGATCGTAGGATGCTCCGCATCATCTGGTCCAGAAAAAATCTCCCAAAAGTTTCGTTGCGTTTGGACTCTGTTTGGTACTGATATTTTGCAAAGTAAAAAACAAGCAAAAATAGCAACTGGCACTGGGCACTATGTCAATAGGTTAATCCCAAAATTTGATATAAAGTTGCTATAAAATGATTGTAAAATATCCAAGAATGATAATATAACAGCATGGAACAATAAAAAGTTATAGATACGTTAGAGACGTATCACCCCCTACCCAAGATCCGCCGGTTTTGACACCGACAATACTATTGACTCTTTGCATGAAAAGTAAATACATAAAGGTAAAAGATAGACCCTTTGTAGAAGGAAGCAGAGGTTGTCATGCACTTTTTGTTTTTGGATGTGCAAGCTCTTAATGTAAAGGAACGTCATTTTATATTGCCCCTTGTGATAGTAACCTTTATTTTGCAGTTCGTCGATTTAATTTTTTTACAATCACAAGATCATACAAAGCTTATTTTCCTTTAAAATAAAAGATCATATAATTTAGAAGCAAATTTTATGCTTTATGCATCGATGACAACTTAGTTGAAGGATCTTAATCAATCTATAGGCAGATATAGTGGGCTCTGCTACTTCTTAAGCTTGCATTGATTTTTTCCTTGAAGAGGAAAGGATGATGCAACAAATTAGAGATAAGTATTTTCCTTAGTTAAGAACCAAGGTATCAATTCAGTAGGAGGCACAAACAAGTCCCCAATAGATGCACCTGCATAAACTAACAAAGACTTGCACACAACGTGAAAATTGGGTTGTCAATCCCTTCATGGTCACTAGAAAGAGTGAGATCCGATAGAGATAGATATAAAAAATAAGTAAAAATATAAAAGTAAATACATTGCAGCAAGGTATTTTTGGATTTTTGATTTTATAGATCTGACAATAATATGATAAAAATAGACCCCGGGGCCATAGGTTTCATTAGAGGCTTCTCCTTGAAGAAAACATAAGGTGGGTGAACAAATTACTGTTGATCAATTGGTAGAAAAGCGCATAGTTATGACGGTATCTGAGGCAATGATCATGAATATAGGCATCACGTCCGTGACAAGTAGACCGACTCCTGCCGGCATCTACTACTATTACTCCATACATCACTCCTATCCAACATGCATCTAGTGTATTAAGTTAACAAAAACGGAGCAACGCCTAAAGTGCTAAAGTGCTTTGGCTCCATTATATTTTCTCCATTAACCTAGTTGTTTAGAGACTCGTTCAATCATGTATTTGATATTGTAGTGATAATATTTTTATTAAGTGAGTTGCATAGACTTGACCAATTTATTATGTAGCTTTAAATATGGCGAAGTATTATATGCCCATGTCGGGACTATAATTACCTTTTCTCTTGTAAATAAGATAACTAATTACTACTCCAGCTACTTTTGGGCTTGAAAAATACCTTATCCCAAAGTATAGTCAGTAACATATGTGCAGAGGAAAAGGTTTACACCTAAGCTGCTTCACATGCCTTGATATGATTTAGTCACATTCTTTATAAAAAAAGTCAAGAGTTTGGTCAATTTTAATCATTAATGAACATAAATAAGCTGCTCAACAATCAAATACATTTGGATTCCGAGTGTAGCTTCATAACACAAATTCATATGACTTCTAAAATACATGAATAGGAAAACCCATTAGTAGAATGTAGTGGTATATTTAATATTACATGATTTGTATGGTTGTTTGATTGTGCACGGAATAAGGTAAGGTTCTTTACATGGGGTAAGTGGATGGAAATTTTTGTATGAAATCTAGTAAAAATTAATCATACCGGGGAAATTCGATGAATTGCAATCCTACAAATCAACAACTCAAAATTCATAAAAAAACTTTAAACTTCATTATAAATCATTTAAGTCAAATGCCTATGAAGAGAGAGCACTTTGTTTTCTTAACACAGTACAGACACAGACACTCATGCATACGCACATACGCTCACCCCTATGAACGCATGCACACCATATCCTTATTAGCACCTCTGAGAGACTGAGCCGACCCAATATCTTGAGATTGACAAAGTCACCACACGCGCCTTCTTAGTCGACTGGAACGTCTCCTCCCACTAAATCGAAAAGCCTGAAACAAATCAAGGAAATGCGAGCATCGGTGTCTAGTTTAGGACTTGAATCCTGGTGGGCTGGTTTCAACACAAAGAACCTAACCATGCTTAGTTTGCGAGAGAGAACTTTGTTGTTATGATATGAGTGTTGCATGCCTTTGATGTATTGTGGAATTCCAACTTATTTACTCAAGGTATTCAATTTATTGTTAGTAGATGACCATACTCTGTTATCTTAATGATAGTGGAACCGCCTTTTATAAGGTTACTAAAAATAAATCATGTTTGCATCAACATGTAGGGCCAAGGTTTGCACTAAACACAACAAACATATTGTGTGTGTAGAGAGAGTTAGAGAGATGCTTTAGTTTGTGATTTAGGAAGATAAATTGTGTTGTACTAACATTTGACCTATATTTTTCTTTTGCAAATTTTCATGAAAAATGAGTCATGTTTTGTAAGTCTAAGTAACTTCCACATTATATAGCAAATAGACAATAGGTGTATATGCACCTAGAAGCCATAGCCAATTACCGAAATTTTATGCAGTGTTTTGGCTCCTAGGTGCATATGCACCTATTATCAAAATACACATTTTGAAAAGTTGAAAAATTCGAAACAAAAATTCCGCAGGTATATCCGGACATTCTATGTGCGTGCACAAAGTTTCGGTGAAAAACAATGTTTTTTGTGGCTTGTGTAAAAAAATAAAGAAATGCCTCGTGAATAGTTATAATGAAGGATCAGAAATTGTCTTTTTTTACACAAGCCACAAAAGCCTCGTTTTTCACCGGAAACTTTGTGCACGCACGTAAAATGTCTGGATATACACGTGGGATTTTTGTTCAGAATTTTTCAACTTTTCAAAATGTGTATTTAGACAATGGGTGTATATGCACCTAGAAGCCATAGCCAATTACCGAAATTACAAGTGTTATATAGTTGTCCACCGCAAAAAAACCTGATAAGCTTATAGAATTGACGCTTCGTGTGAACGTTTTTTGACCGATCGCTCTGAGGTGCGTTGGATTCCATGCGCAAATCTCAAAAGCATTGGCTTCCTCCGCCCGAGCGAGCGACGAAATGCTTCGTTTTGTAGACTCCCTTGAGAGTGAACGCCGCAAACTTCCTATTTTTTAATCCATTTTTAAATCCTAAACAAGTGGTTACAAGATCATGTCAAATTCTGCCTTTTAGGGTTTTTTTCTTTTTTGCACATGGCAAATATATCGTGTATACCATGGCAAATTCTGTTTTTAGTGACATGGTGTTTTCGTAAAGCCCTTTAATTACCCCCTCGGAATAGAACATGACACGTTGAAACACGGATGAGGATACTGCTCTACTCGTAGTAGTCCCAGTATTACCTTTTTGCAAGGAAAGGAAAGAAAAAGAAAAGAGAGGAAATCGTCAAAACCGATTAGAGAAAGACACGACACTGACATAAATTTCAGGCTTTAAACTCTGCGAAATGAGATGCCCCTAGCCTCCATAGCAGCACGATGACAAACAAAGACCAGCTCTCTCTCTTCCCTCTTCCCCTTGTGCCAGCCCACCCACAGCCGGAAGGGAACCACGCGCAAGGCCCCCACCCAAACGGCTATAATTAGAGGAGAGACACGGTTCTTCCCATAAGCCCCCTGCTCCTGCCTCCTCCTCCTCCTCATCTCGCTATTCCTTTCCGCTCCCACACCACGCGCAAACGTCCACAACCCTTTGTATTTCCACACAACACCCTCCCCTGTACGTGACCAACTCCGACAGCGGAGACACGAATCGAGCCGTGTCGACAACAAACAATTAGCCCAGACCCCGAGGACACCAGCGCAAAAACACCGCCCGCCACCGGGGCGGCCAAGAGACCGCCGCCGCCGGCCGATCGGAGCACCATTGGAGCCGCGCGCGCCCCTCCGCCTGCCCCCGCGCGTCCGGGCGCTGACCCGTCGCAGCGCCGTCGCCCGCGCTGCCGCGATGGAGTCTGCCGGCTACTACACCAACTGCAAGAAGACCGACGGAATCTGCGAGGGCATCTGCGACGGCGAGGTGAGGACCTCGCTCCCGTCCCTTCGCCCACACCCCCCAGATCTGTCCCTTTCCCACACCGCGTGGCTATCTCGGCGGATTGATTACCTGGTCCACGAGAAGGCTCCTTCTCGCCCCTGCTTTTTCCTTCTTTTTATATTTTATTTATTATTTATTTCTTTTTGGTTGGCCTGGAAACTGCTCGCTTCATGCTTCGGTTGCTCCAATTGCTCTTGTTCGCGCTTCGATTCCACCACCAATATCACGCTTGCTTCGATATACTATTGTTATTCCGTCGGCAGGTTTCTGTTTTAGAGTAAGTGTCGATGAGATTTGCCTAGTCCGGCTCCGAGATGCTTGCCTAGTTGCTTTACAAGAAGAAGAATCTTTGATCTGTTTCGGTCCTACACATGGGGGGATTAGGTGTAATCCCAGGTTTTGATGCTGCTTCTGGTGCTGGTGGAATCTCGCGAGCTGGCCGAATTTGGGTTCCCTCTAATCCTGGAATCTTTTCTTTAACCGGTTGAGGTGCGGCCGTGAAACGATCCACCTTTAGTAAAAGGGCCAGGTTAATACTTGTGCACGCTGACGATTCATGCTGCCAAAGTAGACTACGAAGGAGTTCGTTAAGAGATACTCCTACGTACTCCACTATGCAGCTTGCTCTTATCGTCGATCTGAATTAGGCTGTGTCTATTTTTCTTTGTATAGTAACAAAATAAACACAAATCCACTTGAATACTTGTTCCTGCCATGGTTGATCTTCCATGAGTAATAATGTAACATTGATTTTGTGCTTCCCGTGTTGAGTGGGTTTTAAATTTTTTCCCTGTTTTCATCTACAGCCATCCAATTTGCGCTGAACAAATTAGTAACTCTCTTTAGCCAAAAAAATCAGTTATGCAATACACTGTAAGCTTTACTAATTGATTTACAATAGAATTGGCGTCCTAAGTTGGTTTAATCAGTGTGTGCTGCATATCCCTGCAGTTTGTACAGTCTTTTCTTGTTCAAATAGTTGTGTGAAGAAGATGGGTGTTTACTTGCATATTATTATTTTTAGCTCAATTTCGTGCTTCTTGTGACTTCCATTGCCTGAGTGATTTTTCACATGGTTTCTGTATTCATTTGCAGCATGGTTCAAAGGCTGTTCTGAGCATGTCAAGGCTGAAGTGTGCACTTCGGGGATTTGATTTAAAGGCCCTTCTGTTCCTGCTGATTGGTGTGCCGATTATAATTTTCGTCATATATGTTCATGGCCAGAAGGTCACTTATTTCCTCAGACCAATCTGGGAGAAGCCCCCGAAGCCTTTCACTGTACTTCCTCACTACTATCATGAAAATGTTTCGATGGCAAACCTCTGCAAGTTGCATGGATGGAAGGTCCGAGAGGCTCCACGGCGTGTCTTTGACGCGGTGCTTTTCAGCAACGAGCTTGACATTCTTGATATTCGTTGGCACGAGCTTAGCCCGTATGTGTCAGAATTTGTGCTGCTCGAGTCCAATTCAACATTTACTGGCCTTGAAAAGAAGCTCCACTTCAAGGAAAACCGCCAAAAGTTTGAGTTTGCTGAATCACGGTTGACCTATGGTATGATAGGGGGGAGGTTTGTGAAGGGTGAGAACCCATTTGTGGAGGAATCATATCAGAGAGTCGCGCTTGACCAGCTTCTAAAGATCGCCGGGATCACCGACGATGACCTGTTGATTATGTCTGATGTTGATGAGATCCCAAGTGGTCATACAATCAACCTGTTGAGATGGTGCGATGATACGCCTGAGATACTTCACCTTCAGCTGAAGAACTATCTCTACTCGTTTCAATTTATGCTTGATGATAAGAGTTGGAGGGCTTCAGTACACAGATACCGAGCGGGGAAGACGAGGTATGCCCATTACCGGCAAACTGACGACCTTCTGGCAGACTCAGGATGGCACTGCAGCTTTTGCTTTCGGTACATAAATGATTTTGTCTTCAAAATGAAAGCCTACAGCCATGTGGACCGGATCAGATTCAGCTACTTCCTGAACCCCAAAAGAATTCAGCATGTGATATGCCAAGGGGCTGATCTCTTTGATATGCTTCCGGAGGAGTACACGTTCCAAGAGATCATCGCCAAGCTTGGTCCAATCCCAAGTACGTATTCAGCGGTTCATCTTCCCGCCTATCTGCTCGAGAAGGTTGATCAGTACAGGTATCTTCTTCCTGGCAACTGCATGAGAGAAAGTGGGTAGCCTCGGCCGTTTCCATCAAGATGTGATGCCCCCTTGGGGAAGAGCGTGGCTTAGCGGTTGTATTTGATACCAGTGGCTGGCTGACTTAGTTGGAATGGCGGTTGTGTTGGGTTCATGATTTTGTACCATGTAATTCAAAACAATGGATGGAGGGCCTGACAGCATAGCGCATGCTCCATGGGCCGCTGCGTGCATGTTTTATTTTTGGAAGAGGAGCTTAGCCACCTGAGTCTCTTGTTGATTCATTGCTTCCATGATTGATTTATGAACTCAGAAAATATATTGTAGATTACAGACTGAGTGTGACATTTGCAGCAGTTTCTCATTGTTACCTTGTGGTGTACATTATTATTATCATCATCATTTATTCTTGCTGATGATTTACTGCAGTACATGTGCACTCAGTGGGTTCATGTCCTGCCTGCCCGCCTTACTGCTGTCAGGGGCCATCCGTTTTTCTGGTCAAGTGTCTTAATCCTCCTCTTAACATGTGATGCCGTTGCTGTCGTACTGAAGACACCGGAGTGTGCAATTGATTGCATCTGTCATCTTTCTTTTGCCAACAGTCACAGGTTTCCTTGGTAAGGGTAGGTTTGGTGCAGGTTGATTTGGGTAATCCATACTCTGTTTGGGCATCACTGGCAGCTGCAAGTTGTTAAGCGACCTGTGAGCGCTGCAATGTGGGTGGGAACAGGCTGTCCGTGTGGGTTGCTGTCCACCTCGGCCAGAGTGGCAAAACATGCTGCGCAGCACATTGGCTGTTGGCCTTCCTCTCCGTGCGACCCTACGCGACTTTGTTCCGTTGCTACGAGGCTTCCTCGGCTAGTTGATTTGTTCAATGATTTTCAGAGAAACGTTGCCAGTAGTAGTGGTATAACTTGCAGTCTTCGGTGGAGGGAAATTGCAGATTTTATGTGGGATTTTGCCTGCGGACTGAGCTGTCTCTGGAGGCAAGTTGTAGAGGAGATTCCTTGAGGCGAGTGGTACAGTGGCATGGGCGTCGCCGGTGGACCGGGTCACGAAGGCATACGGATAAGGCCAACTTCAACGGAGACCCGCAATTTTTCTCCCGCATCCGTCCGCGAACAAAGTGACCAGTCCACGCGCATAGATGTGGGAGGCCGCTACCTAACGCTGACCGCATACATTCCGACAACAATTCAAACTAACTAGACAAAATTCGCCGGATTTCATATAAACATGACGGGTTTCATTACATTTACATCTAACCGGTGCTCTTCCGGCTCTAAAGGTAATACATCTAATCTATGATTGCCGGCGCTCGTTTCCTATGTTCGGCTATGAGCCTTGAGAACTGAAACTTCTTCTTCAGTTTCGTTTCAGCCTCCGCAACCACCGCCTTCAGAGACCCGCGAAATGAAGTTGTTCATCTCCACGTCTCCGCCAAGCGGCTAATCAGGCGTCGATATTGAGATCACCAAGCTTGGCTTCAATGGGAGGGGAGGAGCGATGGCTTTCTTGGGACCCAAGTGGCAGCAACCCACTATGCTCTACTCTTTCCTTGTTGCTGGCGGCACCCGCGGACGTGCCGGTGGGGCGCGGCCTTGGCGGAGCCGGTGATGTCCTCTGCCTCATAATCTGTCTTGACCCACACCCCGTCTGTCGCCTCGTTGAACTCCTTGTAGGTGGACTCTAGTTCCGCCTGACGCTGGTAGTAACACCATCAGACGAGGCGAATCTCGCAGGCGGAGTGGTAGGACTCAAGCAGCGCCGCCGGGTATGCTTCCGGTGCAATCTCCTGTCGGCGGTGAGCTACTCCTCCGCCTGCTGGTGCTCCTGGAGGAGCTGGTGGTTGTAGACGATGTTAGCATGCGCCTCCCGGAACTGCTCCTCACGCACCATGTCCATGTAATAGGCACGAGCCTCGCCGATGGTCATGGTGCAATGCAGTGGCGAGGGTGGCGGCGAGGAGGAGGAGGGTGGCGCTGGCTCGTCGTCGACCGCGTCCTCCATTGGGACGTTGTCGTCCTCCGGCTGCCAGCCGACAGCAATGGCGGCCATCTCCTTCTAATCCGTTGTCAGCCCGTCTCAGAGAGCTTTGGAGTGCGGGGAAGCCATGGTGGGAATGGTGCAGAGAGGAGAAAGGGATCAAAGGCGGATGATTGCGGCTATGGTCAGGACAATAATTTATATAGCAACGATGGCCGGCAGAGGGGCGGACGGGTGGTGTCGGAGTAGCCACCTCGTTTACCGTGTGTCACTAATGTGGGCGGCAGACGGCCGCCGACGAACGGCCATCATGTCGTTTGAACGCGAAGCAATCATCTGCATCGGAAAGTGGCGCGCTGCTTCAGTGCTGGCTCTAGTTAGAGGTCACGTTCGCTTTGGCCGGGCATGAATGCGGCACTGACGCTATGGAACGACAATGACCGTTTTAGGCGGAAGACAAGGGCGGGAGAGGTAGGAGATTTTGATGACCAGGGTGGTCAGACTAGGACTTGACAGTGGTCCGGACGCTGAAAAATTACGTTTTAATCATCTTGCCGGCTGATACAGGCTCGTATTAGATGACACAACACGTTTAAATAGCACAACGTGGATGTATGCGGGGCGTTTTGAGGATGGACGTTGGAGATACGGCAAGGCCATCCATCCTGGTTGGCCACCGGTGGTCTGTTTGAGGCGCGCGCTGGTCTGGGCGTGGCGGTTCCTTTCATTGACCTGGCGCTGGCAGGTCACGCCGCGTCTCTTTGCCCGCGCGCGGGCGTCGACCTGTTGACCGACTCCGGGCAGGAGAGCGCGACGGCTGCGTCGTCACCGCCCGAAGCCACAACTGCAATTGCGAAGCCCGGTCCTGCTCGGCCGCGTGCTGCTAGCTAGGCTAGGACGGTTGCGCTGCATGCTAAGCAAACGCGGGCCGGGTCAGTTTCGCCGCGCTCTTCATTCATCGCACCACGCGTCCGTCGGCCACCGGCGACGGCGACAAGTGACGACACCGCGCTGCACACACGGTCTGGCCGCTTCCTGATCGTCAAAAGGGGAATTATGGGTGCGTTAACCTGTTTATTACTTAGAATTATGATTAGGGCGGTCCTAATTAAACGGGGGCGTGTAACGTGTTGTTGCAGTAACCACTGCGAGGCGAGGCGAGTGGGTGGTTGTCTACTCAAGCCTAATCAATCAAATGGCAGTTCCTGGCTTGAAAAGTTCGCCTGTTTTTCCTTTTTCCTATTGAGGTTTTTTTTTAAGCATCTCCTATTGAGGGGGTTGAAGAGTTCGGTCGGATTCACTTGTGGGGTGTAGTGCGTTTTTATTTGTCTACGCACACACGCCTCGCCTTGGAATATACTTACTTCATCTGCCATGCTATGCTACGTGCAGGGGCGGACCCAGGGAAAAAATTGAGAGGGGGCAAAATGCATGGGCATATTCACGAACTAGCAAGGCAAGTATTAGTATAAACTAAAAGTTTGGGCATGATCACCTTATTATTCTCATGGTATCAAGTTCATTGTGAAGTGAAAATAAATTAAAATTTTGAGACAATGATCTGCATCAATATGAATATCACATTTGATGTTTGTGTGTGTTTGCATCAATATGAATATCACATTTGATGTGTGTGCGTGCACAAACAAATGATTGTTAGAATTTTTTATAATAGTTGATTTGAATAAATTGGAGCCTATGAGCCTGAACTAGCCAATATTGCCCTTAAGTAGGAAATTGCATATTAAAATTTGTATGTGACAAAAAAATGGTTGAACGGTTGAATTGACCTAATTATCCAAATCCATGGATTATACACATATTTTGATGTTTTATACGGTTCATCTAGATTTCAAAAGGAGAAAGACATGGACAAACGAATGAATAATACACTAATCTGATAGCACACATGCAAGGCCTAGATTGAAATTTCAAACAGTTGAATTTCAGTTTATATAAGATTGGAATTGCAAACTAACAAAAAAATCGCAAGGAGGAAAAACCTAGATGTGTTATACGGCTCACCTTGATATCAATCAGAGAGAAACTACAGAATCGGGGTTTGCTGATGGGGTTGTGTGTTAGTGACGTCGTGCAAGGCCGCAGGGGAAGGATACAGGCAAGTCAGCAGTTGCCGCCGCCGGCGGCTGCGAGCGGCAAGGTCAGGGCTTCGCCCGTGTGGGTGCGTGTGTGCACGAGGAAATCTGAGCAATCTGCAGGCTAGACGCTACAACACCCTTTTTTTTTTGCTATTTCTTGACCTTTTTCACACTTCAAGTAATGGGCTTTTGAAAATACGCAAGGAATCGGGCTAAGTGGAGGCAGAGTATTCGTCCTAGTGGGGGCACACGCATAGGCAGCAACATGTATATAAGCGCATGTTAAAAACGAGTGGGGGCAGCTGCCCTCACAGGCTCCAACGTAGATCCGCCCTACGTGCCAAACATAACGCCACAACAGGGCTCTCCACATCAAGCATACGTGCACAAGTCATACCGGAAAGAACGTTCAATTGGAACAGGAATACCCTGCTCCAAAAACGAATCTAGCTAGAGATACTAAGCTCACGTGATTTGAAGCGTTCTACTGTTTCGGGGATTGTGGGATTGCTGATAGCCCCGCATGCTAGGTTCTGTGTTGTTTAGTTTTATTTTTTTATTTAGGTTTTTTCACATTTTAATTCATGAGCGCTTATCAAAATTTGTCCACATTAAAAAACAAAACATATTTAAAATTCACTTTTTATGGATTCATTAATATTTATTAAATTCATGTTTTTATTTTTTTAGTTGTTCATATTTTAATTCACGGGAACTTATTAAAATTTGAGCACATTAAGAAGAAAAATATTTTTTTAATTCTCTTTTTTCAGATTCATTAATATTCATTATATTTATGTTTTTATTTTTTAGTTTTCCGCATTTTATTTCATGGGCGCTTATTAAAATTTGTGCACACTAAGAAAGAAAACATTTTAAAAAATTACCTATTTTCATATTCACTAATATTTATTAAATACATGGATATTTTGAAAGTTACTATCATTTTGTATGTTTGCGAATATTTTTTAAATTGAAAACGTATTTGATATGAGATCATTTTATGAAATCCAAGAATATATTTTAAATTTATGAATGTTTTCTAAAATTCACGCCTTTTTAAATTCACAATTTTTTAAAAAAATTCCTTGAACATATTTCAATTAATCTAACCTTTTCAAATAAAAAAAAGATAGCCATTTTTTTCCTAAGCTATCATCGGGATGAGCGAAAAAAACTAAGCGAACGAGAGGAGTAGCGAGCCAAGCTAAGCGAGCAAGAGCTTCATTGGCCAGCCCATGTGAGTGTTATAGTAGTAGATCCACGGTTTCAAGGCGGAATAGGAGCTCACAAAATGTTCAGACAACAACCACCGTCTGACATCGAGGCCAAAACATATAAGACACCACAACGATGTACCAAACAACTCCTATATTCTCTCGGAACAAATATTGTCTCCAACAACAACTCGACAAGATATACGAATGAAAAATAACACCACCAAAACATAATTAAAACACAAGGCAACATAGATAAAACCAAAAGGAAACATATGATCACAAAATCGCATGAAGAATGGCGCGGCGAAGCGCACGTTAGCCTCTAGTGAGTATAAATCATAGTTGATCACTTGGTTGCAACCAAATCAGGCGCTATCGTGCGTGCCCAGCCTTCCGCCAACATGGCCCCGTTTTGGCTTTTACTGATGGTTGCAACCATCAACGAATAGGGCCATACCGGAAAGAACTGATTTACTTCTTTTAGTGACCGACAAAAGCTCAGTCTTTTCATATAGAAGAACAAATTTGGTGAAAAACTGATGAGTACATTTATGTGCCCGAGCTGAGTAAGGTCAGTGAAGTCTAACCATTCCTCTTTTTTAGGTGAGCCTAACGTTTTATAGATGCGCATAATTTTTTGTGTGACACATTTTTGTTTAGAATGTACAATTATTGGGACACATCTTTGTAGGGAATTATTCTTTATTATTTTTAGAACATCAGGGTCAATTTAGAGGAATTGATTTTTTTAGGGGATTTAGAGGAACTTAGAGGAATTGATGGGACACATGCAAATTCAGTCTTATATGATCAACTACAGTCTGGGCCCAACTGTGAGCAGAGCAGGATAGCTTGACTGGTGTGGGTTGGGCTACATCGTATGAGGTGCGCCGCGTTGCAGCCCATTTAGAGAAGACGGGCGTTCCAGTCCAGCGCCCGGCCCGAGCATTAATGTGTTGTGTGGGGGGACCGCGCTCGGCTTGCCAAGGAAGGAAACCACAACGGCCACTGCGGCAGCGGGGCGGGGATTTTGGGGTTTCCCGAGGCGAAAAAGCGAGAGGAAACCGCGGAGCGGAGGCGTCGGACACAGGTCCCCCGTCCCTTCCGACCTCGCTCGCCGCTCCTCTCCTACCGCGACCCTTCCTCCAGCCGCCATTACTAGCGAGTAGGCGGGGGAGCAGAGGCCACTTGGCACCACTGGACCGAGCAGAGCGAGCGCGGGGGAGGAGACCGACCGGAGCAGCAAGCACCCGCCCGCCGCGCCGCGCCGCGCCGGCCGATTAGGGTTTCCCGAATCCTGGTTCGTCGGGCTGGCCGATCGTCGCGGCGATCCGCGCGCGGAGCTCCGATCGGTCGTCCCTACACCCGGTCGCGATGGCAAGGTCGCCACCTCCCTTCCCCCCTTTCTTCAGTTACTTGTACTCTGTCACTGTTGCTTAGGGCTTGTCCGATTGTTCCGGATGCCCACATTTCAGCACTCTAGTGGCCTCCTTTCCCACGGCAGGGAGGAAATGTACCGTCCGTCGATTGCTCACTTTCCTGTAGCGATGCAGCAGTACATTTGCAAAGCCTGCCCGCCCAGATACCTCCAGTCGTTGATAGAGGAATGCTATGACATTGAAAATGCTTGCTTTCTTAATATGTCTAAGCTTAGTTATGTTCTAGCTTAATTGGTCAATACAGATACCCAATACATGATCAGATCCAGCGGTTGCAGCACATAGCTTGTTTGTTCTCATCACTCTGTTATGTACTCCCTCCATTCCACAATGTAGTGCCTATAGATTTTTGTGAAAGTCAAACTTTGCCAACTTTGACCAAACGTATAGAGAAAACTGTCTACATCTACAATACGAAACAAGTATATTCTGAAAATATAACTCACGATGTATCCAATGATGTGCATTTCGTCTTCTAGATGTACCTACTTTTCTCTATAAACATGGTCAAAGTTTGTAATGTTTGACTTTTGTAAAAATCTATAGGCACTACATTGTGGAACGGAGGGAGTAGCATTGTTCAGTCAATAGTGTCCTGTCAATGTTTTGCTTTCTAAGAGCAGCGTAAACAGGACGTCAATTGGAATATCCAATGTCTTGTTACATACAGCTTACTGATTGTCAATCGTTCCATATTGTTCCTGATTGATACATTACATCTTCAAGTTCTGAAGCTACTGTCTCATTTTTACCATGTAGCTCCGCTGTCTTGTGTACTGACCTTTATGAATAACATTATCTTGTTCACATTAGTACATTTGCAAAGCCTGCCCTGGTACATTGAGTCATTGATAGAGCAATGTGATGACATTGGAAGTGCTCGCTATCTTAATATGTCTAAGCTTATAACTGTTATGTTATAGCTTAATTGGCCAGTACAGATATCAAACACATGATCAGTAACTCCGTTGCGGCACATAGCTTGTTTGTCCCATCACTCTGTTCTTAGCATTGTTCAGTCAATAGTGTCTGGTCAGTGTTTCACTTTCTAAGAACAGTGTAAAGAGGGCGTCAATTCACCCGCCAAAAAAAGGGCGTCAATAGAAATTTCCAATGTCTTGTTACACAGCTTACTGATTGTCACTACTTCCATATCCTTCCTGATTGACGTATTAATCTTGAAGTTCTGCAGTCTCATTTTTACCATGTAGCACCACTGTATTACGTGCTGACCATTATAAATAACATTATCATGTTCACATTAATATGTTGCTATGTAAGCACTTGTTATCATCCCTGCAAAGAGAAAAACTTGTTACCAATCACCAATGTGTTTCCTTTAATGCAGGTCATGGCTTATAACTTGTAGGGGTGTTGCCAAGAAAGTTAGAAATGCCCACTGCTCTAATCGCCAGATAAGTGAAGTCGGTGCAGAAGCATGCAGGGAATGCCCAAACTGCAAACATATCATTGATAACAGTGATGTAAGTACATGTAAACTATTTTAGTGACCACCTTCTACCTTTATAAGTTTGTACTTTGTACGGGAAACTTCTCTTCTGTACTTTTTGGTGCACCCTTACTGGAAAGCTGCTTATGTTATCAGAATACTTCATAGGTTATTTATTCGTCTGCTGGTAGCTTTCTAAGATAGATGTATTCCAGATGGTAGCAAAAAAAGAAATACGGAACAGTCGATACTATACAACTTTCTCCTGTTCCATCAATATAAGGCTTTGAGCTGTATTAACTCGCATAAGCTTCAGCATTACAGATGCATGCAAAACGCTACTCATTTAAGCTCACATTCATTGGTACAGTGTTACACATTCTACAAAACCATTCACTGCATTTCATTTTTTGTAGGTTTCTATCCAGTGGCCCGGGCTGCCTGCTGGTGTGAAGTTTGATCCGTCTGATCAAGAATTGCTCGAACATTTAGAAGAAAAAATTGGTGTGGGAGGTTCAAAGCCTCACATGTTCATCGATGAGTTTATTCCAACTGTGGAGAATGATGCAGGGATCTGCTATTCACATCCTGAAAATCTTCCTGGTAGGGGATTCCTTTAGTTGACAATTTGACGTTGTTTTTGGATTCTTTAGTTTATTCATGTTTTGAGTAGGCCCTGTTCATTTTTATAGGCACAAACAAAGATGGAAGCAGTGCCCATTTCTTCCATAGTATTTCAAATGCATATGGGTGTGGCCAGCGCAAGCGTCGAAGGATCAGCAACAGTGATCGGACCACTTCTGATGAGCATGTGAGATGGCACAAGACGGGTAAATCAAAACCCGTATATGACAACGGTGTTATGAAAGGGTGGAAAAAAATATTGGTTCTGTACAAAGGTTCACAAACAGGTGGCAAACCTGATAAAACTGACTGGGTGATGCATCAGTATCATCTGGGAGTAGAGGAAAATGAAAAGGTTGGGGAGTTTGTCGTTTCCAAAATATTTTATCAATTGAAGACAAGGCCGGTGGACAAGTCCGAAGCAGAAATGGCTAATGAAGAATCTACTGCATTTACTGCAAGTATTTGTCCGAAAACTCCCATGACAAAGATCCCGCCATGTCGCCCAAAGAATAGTCCATGTGAGACTGAGCAGAATGATCCCGGTCAGGTAAATCACAGACATGTGAACTTTTCAGATTAAATATAACCTTTGTTGAAACCACTTCAGAGTAAACAATTGGCATAAAGTCAATACTATTTGATAGAATTCTTATGTATTTACAAAAAGAAAACTGCAACAGCGCAAGCCTTTAAGTAATTGAGAAGTTTATAGTTATTCTGCATCTAGCTAATTTGGCCATTAGAAGTGGCCTGGTAAAAAACATTACCATGTTTTAGAGTCCACACCCAGATACCCAATTCATAATCCATATATGATTTAGAGCTTGTATGATTATTGTTTACAGTAAAAGTTCAGAAGCACTAATCAATATCCTGGAAATTGCTTCTTAGTCATATTGAGACTGTGAATACACTTATCTGCTTGTCATTCTGTTGGTGCGTTGCTATTTTTTTTTATTGCGTGATCTATTGAATATTTTGGAGTAAAAGTTTGTGCATCTGATATGCCATTTACTGTAGGAAGAAGAAACTGTTAGCCTGGCGGAGAATGCTAATAACCCTGCATGGTGTGCTTTATCATCTCAGCCTGTTGAGGTGGCACTTGAGGCTGGGACTTGTAGCCTAGACAAGTCTCTGCGTCATCATGAAGTTTTGGATTCCTCCAATCTTGAAAACAGTACATTTGACAGGCCAATCCTTTCTCAACTCATGAATGAGACACTTAACAAGAACCTATGTGCGCTTCATGGATTGCCTGATCTCCATAATGTCAACCTTGGAACAGCACCTACAGATCTTCAGATTACTGTAAGTGTAACTTTTGGTATTTGTAATTTGTAGTGCCCATATGTTATGACAAATCTGGTCATGTCTTTCACTCACCTTGTAACACTGCCACATGAGTCACATGTGATGATATTTCTGCGCGCGATGTCATATAGTCATATGCCCAATAGGCCAATACAGATAAAATTCCTCAGAGTTGACGCCAGTTCAGTAAAAAAAAATTGGTAGAAGATCAATAATATTTGATAAAAAAATTCCTGTATATTTATATAAAAGAAAATATAGCAGTGCAAGCCTTTAAGTGACTGAGGAGTTTAAAGTTGATCTGCATCTAGCTAATTTGGAAGCTAATAGCAATGGACTGGTAGGAAACATAACCATGTTTTGGAGTCCTCGCCCGAATGAAACTACAATTAATAGTCATCTTTATCCACGCATGCTTTAGAGTTTTTACGATTAGTCTATACAATGAAACTACAAAAGCACTAATCTCAATATCCTGGAAATTGTATCTTAATTTTTTGAGATTGTGAATACGTTTGAGCTTATCTGTGTCATGTCATTCTCTTGGTGTGTGCTAATGTTTTTGATTGCCTGATTTGTTAACCATTTTAGATTAATAACTGTGTGCTTGTGATATGTCATTTACTGTAGAAAGGAGAAAATGTTAGCTTGGTGGCTGATGCTGAGAACACTGCATGTTGTTCTTTAGCGTCTCAGGATGTTGAGGTGACTTCTCAGGCTGGGACTAGCTTGGTTGAATCTCTCCTTCATCATGAGGTTTCAGATCTCCATAATGCTAACCTTGGAACACCTAGAGACCTTCAGATTGCTGTAAGCATGTTTGTTTGTGTTTGTAACTTGTGGTTTCCATATGTTATGACAAATCTGATCATGTTCCTTTCTCGTGTTGTAACACGGTAGCACGTGTCATACGTGCATGATGTGGTAGTCGTACACGGTGCATCTGATGCACTTCAAACTTACCTCAAGGCTATTTAGAGTAGACATAACCTTTGATTAAACCAGTCACCAGTAAAAACAATTCACATTTTCTCCAAAAAAAGAAGAAAGAAAATAAAAAGCAATTGATAGAAAACCAATAATATGTTATAAAATTTAAGTATGTTTAAATAATTGTGCTTTAGGTTTGTAAAGTTGATCTGCATCTAGCCGATCTGGAAGCTAATTAAGAGTAACCATAACCCATATATGATTTAGAGTTTGTATGATTATTGTTTTCAGTGGAAGTATGGAAGCACTTCTCAGTATCCTGGAAATTTTATCGTATTCTTATTGAGATTGTGAAAATGTTTGAGCTTATTTGTTTGTCATTCTGTTGGTGTTCTTATTGCGCGTGTGTTGACCATTTACTGTAGAAAGAAGAAAGTGTTAGCCTGGTGGATGAAGCTGAGAAATGGTGTGGTTTAGCGTCTCAGGCTGTTGATGTGGCATTTCATGCCGGGACTAGCTTGGACGAATCCCTGCGCTGTCATGAGGTTTTGGATTCCTTCGATCATGAAAAGAGTCTTACATTTGACAGGCCAATCTATTCCCAAGGCAGGGATGGGGGACTTGAAAATAACCTTTATTCACTTAATGGATTACCTGATCTCCAAGGTGTCGACTTTGGGACACCGATAGATGATCTTCAGGTAGCTGTAAGCATATTGTTTGTTATTTGTGTTTTGGTATGTTTGTTATGATAAATCTGATCGTGTCTGTCTCTTGTCTACCGTGACAGGGGTTGCAGTTCTATTCACAGGAAAGCCTTGGCAGCTGGTTGGAGCGCATGTAGATCGTTAAAGAAGTGGACGATCGAAGATCATCTCTTTTCCATCTAGTATGATTATGGTGGCAACATTTTTGGTATCAAGTTGGAAGATAGAAGCTGTGCGATCGTATCAGTGATGCTTTAGACTATTGAAGAGTCTGCACAAACACCTGAACACCTCTTTTGTTTCCTGAAAACTGAAAAGACATGTAAAAGCGTTGTTGTTTTCCCGCTTTTGCGAAAAGTGTGGTGGAAATCTGGATTAAGTTAGCTCTTTGTATGTGTGCAGTTCATGTAACTGCAGGAGTTTCTTACTTGTCTCAACTCGCAATTTTTGTGGTGCCTGGATAACCTGGTTATGAGAAACGATGGAACCGTATGTGATGTGATTAATGTGAGCTGCACCTTGCTGAATGCTGCATGCCTAGTTATAATGTTAAACCAACTATTTTTAACGGTTTAGACCCTGCTTGGAAGGGTTATAATTTTGGTATGCTTTCCGAGTATTTTGCTAAGCTTGAACTAAGTGCGCCCAAACAAAGTAGGGCAAGTCTTTTTTTTTTTTTTTTTTGAAACAGAGGCAAAAGATTTGCCTCATTCATTAATAAAGGAGAAGAGTTTTAGAGTACATGATTAATGGCTTCACATCATAGCCCGTCCGACAACAAAAGAAAGCAGTAACTACTCTCGCGGCATGATGATACTCAGATGTCTAGCTCCCGCCGTGACCCAAAGCTTCGCTTCATCTTGGATAAGTTTTAGAATGTAGAAGGGCGGCGTTGATTTCTTCCTGAAAACTCTAGTGTTTCTCTCGTTCCAAATGACCCAACCAACAAGCATAGTCAGGGAAGCCATGGCCTTCCGGTTCGCCGTGTTGGGCTTCGACATGTTCGTCCACCAAGACTTGACGTTGTGCTCCGCCGACCATTGTTGGGTCTCCAGTGCCCCTAGTCCAAGCCACTCCTTTGTCAATCTCCATACACGCAGTGTGAACCTGCACCGAAAGAAGAGGTGCGCGGCTGTCTCGTTTTCCCTTCTACACAGGGTGCATAGACCGCAATTCTCCCAACCTCGCTTCTCCAATCTATCCGCTGTCCAGATCCTATTTTGAATCGCCAACCAGGAGAAGAACTTGACCTTGGGAGGTGCCCAAACCTTCCAAATAGTCTTGTTCATGGTGGTCGTCATGGAGCCCAGGAATTGGATCCTGTATGCGGAGGCCGCTGAGTACTCACCATTCGCCTCAAATTTCCAGGAGATATCATCATCAATGTCAGGTAAAAGTTGAAACTGCTCAAGTTGAATCCAAAGGTCCACAAACTCCACCATGTGGTTGATCGAGAGGTTAATGGAAGGGTTGATCTTGTGCACCCAGGCATTGTTTTGCAAGGCATCCCTCACCACCCACTTCTTCCGCTTGGAAGCTGCAAAGATTAGGGGGGCGATATCCTTCGGTTTTTTCCCCCTCAGCCACGGCGCTTCCCAGAAGGGTGTCTTCCCCCCATTCCCCATGGTAATGACTGTGGCGGCGTAGAAGAGGTCCATATCCACCTCCGAGCACGGGTTTCCTAAGCCCACCCACAGTCTCGATGGGTCCTTCCATTCCACCCACGGCCATCTTAGTCTGAGAGCCCTTGCAAATTTCCCCAAGTGTAGGACCCCAAGCCCGCCGAGATGCGTTGGCCGGCAGACTGTCTCCCAATTGATCTTGCATTTTGCGCCTGTAGTTGTATTCTGAGCTGACCAAAGAAAAGCACGCTCGATTCTATTAACGTTGTGCAACACACCGGGAGGGACGTTGAGGGCGGTGATGTGGTAGACGACTTGCGAAGTGAGGACCGATTTGACCAAGGCCGCCCGACCGATCGTGGTGATGTTTCTCCCTTGCCATGGAGGAAGCTTGGCGGCGACCTTGTCCTCAAGGTGCTGGAAGTCCACCCTTTTCAACCGCCAAATGGATAGAGGGAGGCCTAGGTACTTCAAAGGGAAAGACGTCCGCGAGGCGGGCAGGCTCTGAAGGATGTCGTCGAGGTTGAGGTGGCCACAACGAATTGCGACAACGGAGCTCTTCTGGAAGTTGGTGGACAAACCGGTGACCTCGCCGAAGGCACTAAGGATGGCCGCAAGGTTGTCAACGTCTTCTCGTGTTGGGGAGATGAAGATCGCCGCATCGTCCGCATAGAGAGAGGTACGAACAGTAGCTCCACGCCCTTGAATCTTGTGAAGTAGGTTGTGCATTGTGGCAACCTCAAGGAGCTGATGAAGGGGGTCGATCGCAAGGACAAAGAGAAGGGGGGAAAGGGGTTCCCCTTGTCTGAGTCCTTGGCCGTGGGAGATGGCCAGCCCGGCAATACCATTGAGGAGGACGCGCGAAGTGGAAGTGCAAAGGAGGGCCGCCACCCAATCCCGAAAGCGGACCGGAAAGCCCAACCGCCGTAGGAGGTCAAGAACATACTCCCATCGCACCGAGTCAAAGGCCTTCCGAATGTCCAACTTGAAGAGCAAGGATGGAGTCTTGTTTCTGTGAAGGCGACGCGCGAGATTTCTGACGTACATAAAGTTGTCGTGGATGCTCCGTTTCTTGATGAAAGCACTCTGTGTATTGGAGACAAGGTTGTTCATGAAAGGGCCAAGACGGGCAGCCAGCACCTTGGCGATGATTTTAGCAATAGCATGAATGAGGCTAATGGGACGGAAGTCCCCTATCTCCTCCGCCCCATCCTTCTTCGGGATGAGCACAATGTTGGCCGAGTTGAGCCAGTGGAGGTTTGTCGTTTGAAGGCTACTAAACTGGCGAACAACTCTCATTACATCGTGTTTGATAATTTGCCAACATTTCTTGAAGAAGCATCCCGTGAATCCATCTGGCCCCGGTGCCTTGTCGCCCGGCATACGATCAATAGCGGCCTTCACCTCGTCCTCAGTGATGTCATCGTCAATGCCAGAGAGGTCGACCGCCCGTAGGTTTAGGTTCTCCCAATTAAGGTCTCTCTGTCTGGGTTGGCCCCCTCCCAGACTGCTCGCAAAGTGGTCGTGGATAATTTCCTCTTTTGTCTGGTGGTCTGTGACCCATCCAGAGTTCTTCTTAAGCCTGTGTATGTGGTTCTTTCTTCGTCTTGAGTTGCCTCTGAGGTGGAAGAATTTGGTATTGGCGTCTCCCTCTTTGATGTTTGCAATGCGGGCACATTGCTTCTTCCGCGCTCGCTCAACAGCGGCCAGGCTGATGACGCGACGCTTGAGGCGAGCCCGGAGGTCCCTCTCCTCCACAGAGAGGATGCGCGTCTCTTGGGCAATGTCAAGCCGGAGGATGACGAGGAGGGCCGCATGAAGGTGCATCTTTGCCTTGGAGAAGAGCCTGTTGCTCCACTTAGCCAGATGCCATCCCGTTTGCTTGAACTTATGGAAAAGCCGTTGGCACGGCTCTGTATGGGAGCATGGCTCCTCCCAAGCCTTGGATACGATGTCGAAGAAGCCTGGTAGAGAAGACCAAAAATTCTCGAATTTGAAACATCTTGGTCGCTTCGGCCCCTTGTCATCAGCAAGCAGGAGAGGGCAATGGTCCGAGAGCGAAGAAGAAATGGCGTGGAGCACATGAGAATCAAAGTGCATGTCCCAGTCGGCGTTGCAGAAAACCGAGTCCAGCTTGCACATAGTGGGGTTCTGACGCTCGTTACTCCAAGTGAATCGTCTGTTCTGAAGGTGGATCTCTTTTAGCTCACAAGTGTCCAGCGTAGCACGGAAGCGGTTGAGGCGGCTGCGATTAATGTTTCTATTATTTTTATCTCGGGCTCGGTAAATTTGGTTGAAGTCGCCCATGACAATCCATTTAGTGCCACTGGTGGGTTTTTGAGAGGTCAAGTCGCTGAAGAAGTCATCCTTTCTGTTGGAGACCGTAGGGCCGTAGACGCTAGTGATCTTGAAAGGGGTGTCAGAATGAATGACGTTGACCGTTGCCGAAAGGCAGAACTCTGTGGTGCAGACGTCGGATATACGAACGACGCTATCGTCCCAAAGCATGAGCAGGCCCCCTCTGGTTCCAGTGGCTGGACGCTGAGCAAAGCTCCGTAGCCTATTGCCGCCAAGATAGGAGGCGACGTACTGATCGACAGCTTCCATTTTGGACTCCTGGAGGCAAACTATGTGGCACGAGGTGGAGGCGATCGTCTCGTGCACAGTCGCGCGCCTGTCCGGGTCATTTAACCCCCTCACGTTCCAGCACAAAAAATTAACAGCTGGTGTCGTCATCAGGAAACTGATGGTTTTCTGGCACTGCCAAGCAGCACCGAACAGGCATGCAGCAAGAAGGGTTGAATGCGCAGCAGCAACAGATTGTAGTAGTTGGCAGTGGAGGATGCTTCCTCTGTATCTAGCTGGGGACGGTTGCTTTGCACAGGAGGGATTTGATGAAGCATGGTTGACAAAGTCTTCCTTAAGTAACAGCGACGACGAACAACAACAGTAGTACATAAAGATACCAGGGGGCTACAGGCTTCCGTAAAGCAACTGGATTGAAGCAAGCTACAAATACTGCTAGTACTACTACGTGGTACAAGATGATTTGCTAACATTGGACACTAGCTGAAGCTCAAACTGCTGACAATGCAAGTCAGTCAGACCTCTCCTGTTGCATCAGCAGCAACAATCTCGTGGTCCATGGCAGCCTGACCTCCGCGGCTGATCAGGGCGTCTTCAATCGCTGTGGCTTCGTCGTCGTCGAGCTTGAACAATGCCCGGAGCGCGGACAGAACCGAGGGCGACAATTCGTGCTGGAAGCGGCGACTCAGCTCTTCCAGAGCGTCTTTGGTGACATCCTTGCCATCTTGGACTATCCCGAGGCTCCGACAAACCAGCTTCTCGGCCTCCCTCGTCACCGGAACAGCAACACGACGCTCCTTGGCATGAGTAGTGGTGCGGCGCAGGGAGAACCCCGGGTCAATGGCCACGCCAGCCATCGTCTTTCTCCGGTTTGCACGGTTCCCGGGCGGGGCACGGACAGGCCCAGGCAAGATCGGAGCCTCTGGCAGCACAAAGAGGGGCGCCAGTATGTTGTTGGAGTTGCTCGCTGGCGAG